CCCCAGCAGCCAAGAATGGCAGGGCTGGGAGCTCAGGTCTGTAACCCCAGCAGCCAAGAATGGCAGGGCTGGGAGCTCAGGTCTGTAACCCCAGCAGCTGAGAGTGGCAGGGCTGGGAGCTCAGGTCTGTAACCCCAGCAGCTGAGAGTGGCAGGGCTGGGAGCTCAGGTCTGTAACCCAGCACTCTGGGAGATCCAAGTGCGAAGATCACTTGAGCTCAGGAGTTCCAGACCAGCCTAAGCAAGAGTGAGATCAGATCCTGCCTCTACTAAAAATAGAAAAACTAGCTGGGCGTTGTGGTGGGCACCTGTAGTCCCAGCTACTTGGGAGGATGAGGCAGGAGGATCACTTGAACCCGAGAGTGTGAGGTTGCTATGAGCTATGAGGCCATGGCATTCTACCCAGGGTGACAGAGTGAGACTCTTGTCTCAAAAAAAAAGAAAAACAAACAAAAAAAAGAGGCAAGAGGTGGTCAGGTACATGGATGTGTGGCCTTAAAAATCCATATTTGGATTTTATCCTAAGTATAAAGGAAAGAGAATAGCACCTAAAACGACCTTTAAAATGTTATTTAAATTTTACATTATGTTTTGTATAATACTTTAAAAGTGGAAGCTGTTAATAGAGGTTATGACCTCATTTGGAAATTAAATGACTTCATTAGTCACATTTTTCTCACTTATTTGGAATTTAAGTTACTTCATAAGAGTCAGGCTTTCTCATTTTTAAAGCATATATAAGATAACATTAAGATTGAACACTGTAATGATTACAAACCCCAGCCCAAAGTCTCCTGTTCGGGGACTTCTATTAATCTGTGTGAGATACACACGTCACAGAACACATGAAACACAGGTGTACAGGCTAATGAAGACCTCGACGAATCAGGGAAACCCAAACAGAATCCTGCCAGCACCTCAGAAAACCTTGGTATCTGACTTTTTAAAAAGAGCTTACTTAGGACTATAATCTGTGATAATTATCCACTTAAATGTCAGCTGAAATCATGTGACCAATCTTTTTATGGGCAAAAGGAATGTTCCCTTAAGTCCATATTTAATTTCAGTATGGAAATTGAATACATATCAATCTAAAACCCATTCACATTTCAGAATAGAGAAATGTGCAATCTTTAAGGCATTAATTTTTAATTAAAAAAAGATAGGTATATAAAAAACAGAACTATGGAACTTGAAGAAAATGTATACATTGTTATACATTTTTGTGAAAGCAAGCCTAACAGTAATAGCTTTGAAATAAAAAGCATTTGATTAAAGTAAAATTAAAGACATTCAAAAGTTTAAGATCTCATGATATGTTTCATTATAACAAATTAGTTACAATGAGAATTCTTTGTTTCTGTGTAACTTCCAGTATATGCTTAGCACTCCACAAATGTTAAACAGGGCAGCACCTCTGACTCAGAGGAATAGGGCACACCCATATGCTAGAGGTGGTGGGTTCAAACCCAGCCCCAGCCAAAAAGTGAAAAACAAAATAAATAAATAAAAATAAATACATAAACATTAAACAGTAAAATATGAGTTACGCTAATCAACACACATCTAAAACATGCTTTATTAAATTGGAGCCTATTTAAATTTTCTTTCTTTTTCTTTTTTTTTTTTTTT